TCTTCGTTTTGGTTTTGTGAGGCAGGGTCTCGCTTCATAGTTGAGATTGACATGGAACTCAGTATGTAGCCCAGGCTGGTCTCGAACTCACAGTGATCCTCCTGCCTCAACCTCCTGAGTGCTGGGATTACAGCCATGGGCCACCACGCCCAGCTTCATAAATTCTCTTTAAAGAGGGGCTGGTTTGAGGTAATGCCAAATTTTTAAAACTCGGCATATACCTATAACAAAAATTATCTTGTAAAAGAAGCTATTTTAAGTTCTGTTACACCATACTGAAGAAGATGTTTCTATTTCCTCTTTGCACTCTGCCATGTTTCTGTTATCAGACACTGTTTTATTGACCTACCAAAGCTTGTTTCTTAATTTCTTCGGGATTACAACACCAAATGGAATACTGAAGTTCTGTTGCACTGTGTTAGCTGCCAAATGAATATAACAGTAAGTCAAATAACAATGGGGCTGTGATCTGAAACATGCATTTCTAGGCAAGTTCATTACTGCAGGGACGTCATAGAATGGATGTCGAAAAACCCAGATGTTGTAGGTCAGTCACTCAGGGTGGCCCTGTGATGCAGTCAAGACACCAAATACACAAGAGAGAGTGAGACTACTCCTGGCATAACACGGCGGAATTTTACAGTGAACCTGTTTTTCAATAAGTAGAAAGAGCACACTCTACAATAGTAAAAAATATAATGTAATACATACGTAAACCAGTACTATAATCGTTTCTTATCAGGTACTATGTAGTGTACATAACTGCACGTGCTGTACTTTTTCATAACTGTCAGGGCAGTAGGTTTGTCTGTTTGAGCAGCACCACAAACATGCGATGGGAGAGAAGTGTGGTCCTACAATTTTACAAAGGCTACTGCGTCACTAGGTCATAGGAACTTTTCAACTCCACCGTAACCTAAGGGACCACTGTTGTATGTGGCCCATCACTGACTGAAATGTCACTGTACCCACAACATGACATACCAGGAGCAGCTACAGCAGCAGCACCAGCAGAAGCAGCACGTATTGTTGGGCCTCTGGTTCCCTGGAGCCTGGGACACAGCAGGTGTTCCTTCATTTTGTGATTGCTGTCTTTTTCGCATGTCAGCTACTTCCGGACCCAACTGGCTGAAAGAAGAGAGAAAACCACAGGGCATGACATAATGGCCCTAAGGAGAAATTGCCTATGCTGAAGGATGCATAATTTAAGGAAAGGTGAAACCGGTAGGCTTTAGCAGTTAAACTGAAGATTCTCAGGGGGAAAAACATTGGGAGCATATCCTGCAAACTTTGGCGATAAAGTGCTACTGTTGTCTGCTGCAGAAACTTATATAGCAATGCTGCCACATAAAATCAAAAACATCGGTCATGGTAAACATGATAAGATTTGAAAATTTATTTTTAACTTCCTTCTTTACTCAAGGGTGGTTAAATATGCTTTCCTTTATGAGTGCCTTTAATGATTATGGGGTTCATATGACTGATTTATAAGCTGATGTTTATGGTGAGGCAAATGAAGCTTTACAAATCATTGCTGTGAAGCTTCTAACTATATTAACATGGTGAGGAAGGTCAAATTTGTGTTTGGTGCCCTTGCTCCTCCTTTTAAAACACTTGTCTCCTTTTTGGCGTTTTGCACTCACCCCCCAGGGACCTAACTTTGAAGGTCCATTCATAATGGACCTTACTTTTGGTTAAAAGTACATTTTCACAAGGTATAATTTTTCCTTTCTCCATCCTATAAAATTTATTTTTATTTAAAAGAAAATTGGGGGAAGACAAAAAGCCATAAAAGTGGAGGGAATTACTTTGGCAGGATTGGTGTATCAGAGCAGATAAAAATCTTGGGATACAAATACACTATCTACGACCTCACCAGCAAATGAGTTGCCCTTATTTAGAGAATCAGCCTTGATCTAGGACTATAATATAGCTAAAAAAGTGTATTTTAGCATAATATTATCAGATTTAGCATAAACTCTTAGAAATAGGAATAAATTCTATTGAATGATACCTTTGGTAAATACGCCATATAAATAATTCATTCATACATATTGTCATATTATGACTTAGAGGAACATTAATTAAAGCTATAATATGCTTCAGGTCATTTTGCCATCGTGAGCTCATTTTTTAAAATTCTATTTTCAGTTCTGAATACAATGGTAAGTACTTTTAAAGAACAGTATATTCTTAAAAACTAAACATTTCTTTAGACTACGCACTAAGCATTAAACATCAGTAGTAGATAAATAGGGGCTAAAGCCAGAGTCACTTTTATGATTCATGTACAGAAACAGAAGGAAAGGCCCACTCCTGTGAGGTGTAAACTGCTCTACCATGAGAAATGGGAGGCCGATTCCAAGCTACTTGCATGAAATCAGGGGCTGCAGTTCTACCACTCATTTAAAGGTATCAGAGACACTTTCTCTAACCATTCAATGGTACCCAACTACTGAAGACCGATGATGCGAGAGATCCATCCAGGTAGGACCTATACCAAGGAGCCCAGTGGTGCAGTGACTGAGCCAGGTATATCTCCAAAGCCATTTTTGGTTGGAAGGAATCCCAAGATACAAATGAAACATCTGCTTCAGGACTGAGGGTTTTGAGTGACTAGTGGAGACAAATGAAAAAGACCAGATTAGGAAGGGCAAGGGAGAGTGAGAACTCCACATTAGAAGGTAAACAGACTATATAGAAAATAGAAAGCCAACTCAATAATTTGAGCTCAGTATTCTCTGAGTCAATTGGAAATAAGAGAATCACCTAAAAGTATTTTGACATAAATTTAAGTTAAATAATGTAATAAAGGAAACAATGGCATTTAAATTGTAAAATAAGATACTATAAAACAAGAATAGCTGGGGATTTAGCTCAGCGGTCCGGTGGCCTGCCTTGCAAGTGCAAGAACCCGAGTTCAATCCCCAGTACCAAAAAAACCAACCAAAGGAACAAAAAAAAAAAACCCAAGAATAGACAAATAAGAAATAAGAATAGACATAATAAATAATTGAAATGGAAAATATATAATTATTAAAAAGATTCTGATGGAATAATATCCTCCTGAAGTTACCCCAAAGAGAGTATGACTCTACCAAGAGTCAAAGACTCTATCCAGAATGCAGTGTAGATGGATACATGAAGCGTGAGCAAATCAAAACAAGTACAGTAGTATTACTGAAGGGCTCCAGCAGGCAACCAACATGCTTTTTATGATAAGGAGAGAATTAACAGATTTTCAGGGAAGTGGTATTTTAAGGGAAACTGGCTGAGAACTTCTCACAATTGCAAGAAAACAAAACAAAACAAAAACTCACACAGAAAGAGCACACCATATGCTGAATAGGAAAAATAAAAATAAAACCAAATGCATCAACATTACAGTAAAACCACAGTTCTACAAGATAAAGAAAAAAAACTGAATTGACCCAAAAGAAGTAACACTTTGACTGACAGTAGACGTTTCATGAGCAGTATTCAATGTCAATGGAGGCAGGCAACAGGGAGAATGCATTTTAAATACTATGGGAGAATAACAGTCATTCTACAATGTTACATCCAGCTAAATAAGAATTTAATAGTGGAGATTATTTTTGATGAGCTACTGAATTATAAAAGTTTTTCTGGACTCCAGTCAGAAGACAAAATTTGTGGAAGGTGTCAGACTATATTAACAAGCACTGAAATTGTTTTAAAAAATATGACAATGAATCTAATGGCTGGCTAAAACAAAACCATATGTCTCCCTAATTGGAAATAATCAAGAACCAATTTTAAGATGGCATAATTAGAAACCTAAACTGAAACTGATTTTATAGATATCACAATGTTTCTAATTTTGATATTAAAATTAAAGAGTCATGTTGGCATCTTCTACTGGTCTGCTATGGTTGGAATATGATTTTTCCTACCAAAATTCATACTGAAGCTTAATTCTGCAGTGTGATGGTGGAAAGCGGTTGTGGGACCCGTAAGAAGTAATCAGGACATGGGGGCTCTACTCTCATGAATGTACTGATGTAGTTCCAACGAGAGTTTGTTAGCAATCACGAGTGGGTTGCTATAGAGCAGGGGTCCCCCATATGTTCTCCCTCTTTCACCACTGCCTGCTTGCCACCATTTTCTGAGCTAAGTTAAAGCAACATGTGACTTTCCCCAGAAGCCTAGAAGATCATGAATTTCCTCCCAGGTTCCAGAGCTACCAGCCAAACTAAAATGCTTCTCTTTATAATTTATCAAGAATTATATATTCTGTTATAGATCAGAGAACAAACTAAGACATGGGCCATAGTATGACACTGCAGTGGACTAAATGTGTCCCTCCAACCCTTATCTCACACTTCTGGCCTCCAGAACCATGAGAGATAAATTTTCATTGCTTTTAAACTCTCCAGTCTATGGCCTTTTATTCTGGTAGCCCCAACTGATAACAGCCACAAAGACAGCTCTATTCTCTTCGAAATGAGTACTCTTCCCCTGCCTTCCTAGGTAACGCTATCTCCTGTTTGCCTTTAGTCTCACTGGTTACTTCTCTTGCTCCTTTGGGGGTTCCCTTTTCATGTTTCCCTTTAAAGTTTGTATGAGCCCAGTAATCTATCCCAAGAACTCATCTCTAACATATCTTTGATGAAATTATAGACATTTTATTGGATCTACTAGCTTTCTGCACAAAATTACCAAACTTACATATCCAGTAAGACGACTTTCCTGAAATAAGGACTCATAATCCAACTACCTACTTGACACCTCCTCTTGGCTTTTGGAAATCTACTATAGTCTAATCCAACTCCATTACATTTCTCCAAGAAGTTTTTCTTACCACAGTTCTCCCAATTCCAGTGAATAAAAAGGCTCACCCTTCTAAGTTTTCAGATGAAAGGCCTTGGACTCATCTGTGATTCCTCTATTTTATCTGTATCCCATGTCAGCAGATCAGCAAATGTGAGGCCTCCACTCCTTCGATTTCTACCACTCCCCATGTCTTGCCATTCCCGTTCCATTCCATTCTGTTCTCAACACAGTGGCCAGAGTGTGCCTTTTAAAACATAAGTCGGACAATTTTAACAAGTATTATTCCACCTGAATTTGCTCAAAAACTCCCAGAGGCTTCTCATCTTATTTAGAGTCACAGGCAGTGTTTCTGCAATGCAGTCCTTAATTTCTTGTCGGAATAGATCTTTTCTCTTATCCTCCTTCGCTTTGTTCAAATCACAGTGGCTGCTTTGCTGCTCCCTCAACCCTGTCTGGTATCCTCATGTGTGGGGCCTCCGCACTTGTTTTACATTCGGAGCTCGACTCCTTCATGTCTTCATTCAAATGTTATATTCTTGGTGGAACCTTCCATGACTGTCTTATTTAAAATCACAACTCCAAGGGCCAGGGATTTAACTCAGTGGTTCCAGCGCCTGCTTTGCAAGTGCAGGGACCCAAGTTCGATCCCTGGTACCAAAAAAAAAAAAAGAATAAATAAAATAAAAACTCCTTCACTCCATCCCCAGCATGATTAGCACGTTTTCCTATTTAGCTTTTTTCTACCTTCTGCACTATCACTGGCAATCTGACAAGTTTTACATATTTATTTAACCAGTGAAAAGTAAATTCTATGAAGGTATGATTTTTGTTTGTTTTTTTCTTAGTTGTAACAATGTTTGGTCTCTGAACGCAAGATTTGCTTTGTTCATAGCTGTAACAATGCTTGGCACATAGGAAGTTCACATAAATATTTGTACAGGTTTTTTTTTTCAGTACTGGGGATCAAACTCAGGACCTTGCACTTGTGAGGCAGGCACAGCACCACTGAGCTAAATCCCAGCCCTTCATAAATATTTCTAGAATGAGGAGTTTTACAAGTATTCTCACTAATAAAATAAAGACAGTGAGCTCTTTCACATCCAACATTCAAAATTATGAATTTCCTAGTCAATGCAGTGACATAAGAAAAGAATTTAAGAAGAAAATAAATTTTTGTTATGGTTTATAAGTGATATGGTTATCTACAAAATAATTCTCAGAGATTCAACAATTATCAGAATAGCTCAAGAGGGATACACCCTTTTCAAAAATCAATACATTTCTAATACACTAGTAGCAATTAGAATATGTAAAAGAAAAGCATCATTCAAATGAATAGCAAAATGAGAAAGAGAAATGTCTAACAAAAGTTGAACAAGACCCTTATGGAAATATGAAACTATCAAAAACATAAAATAAGACTTGAATATAGACAGGGTTTTTTTTTCCTGTGGGAGAAAACTGAAATCTTTAAAATGCTAATTTTCCCAAATTATTTTATCAATTTGATATGTTTGTGATAAAACATTAATTGAATCATCCACAGAACTTAATAAATGTATGCTAAAATGTATTTGAAAGAATAAAAGGCAAATACAAGTAAAGCACTGCTAGGAAATTGGGGTCCTTGTCCATTAGGCATCAATAATACTAAACTATGAAAATATTAATGTCATGGGAAAGAAAAGTGAACCAACAGAATGTAGTCATGGCTTAAATTAGAGAATGTTTCTACATCATTGAGAAATGACAGGCTACTCAAAATCATCTTGAGGTGTTTAAATTTCTATGCAAAAATTACATCTCCAAATAATAACACACAAACTTCCAATAAATAAAAAACAGGTGTTATAGACACATAATGAAAAGCTCTCATACACTGATGGAGCAAATGTAAACTGATAAATCTCTCTAAATAATAATACTCAGTAAACCTAAAAACAGTACACATAATCTAGGACAAATTCCACTTGCATGTTTATATTATTACACAATTGCATATGAAGACATTAATTACACTTCACTTAATACTTACAATGGAAATAACCTGCTGGACTGAATGCTTGTATCATGTCAAAATTCTTATGCTCAAATCTAATGCCTAGCATGATGGTTCTTACACCTAGCCTTTGGAAGGGATTTAGGCTGTGTGTGTCTATTTTTCAGGATTGCTTGAGCACTTGTTCACTCTCTTCCCACCATATGAGGACACAACAAGCAGAAAGCAATTACTGTAAAATAGGAAGAGGGCTCCTCATCAGTCACCACATAGGCATGATACCTTAATCTTGGACTACTGAAACTCCAGAACTGAGAGAAAAATTTCTGTTAGACAGTCATTGTGGTGCATATGGGTAACCCCTGCATTCCGGGAGGCTGAGGCAGAAGAGTCAAAAGTTTGAGCTCATCCAGGGCTACTTAGCAACTTATCCAGACTATCTCTCAAAACAAAAAATTTTAAAAAGCATGGGGATGTAGCACAGTATGAAGGCCCTAGGTTCAGTCCCTTGTACTGCAAGGAAAAAAGCAAAAACAAAAAGAAATTTCTGTTGTTGATAAGTCATACTGTTTATAGTATTTTGCTTTCTGACTGAGACAAAAACTGGTACTGAGAAGTGAAGCTCTGGCATCACAAATATTTATTATATTATTATTATTATTATTTATTTTGGTACGGGAGTTCAAACTTGGGACCTTGTGCCCGAGAGATAGGAGGCAGAACCACTGAGCTAAATCCCTGGCCCCTCTGGCATCACAAATAATACACAAGTAACTTTTGAACTTAGCAATAGGCAGAGGCTGCCAGTTTTGAAGCACGTGGTGGAAGAAACCATGATTAGCATGATTTTTAAAGGCAGTTTTGGTGATGACTCAGAAAGGAAAGAAGAGAACTACAGAGAAAGCTTCCTTTGTAGAGAATACATAAATGATAGCACACAGAATGTTAATAGAAATATGAACACTAAATGTCACCCTGAAGAGATCTTAGATGAAAATGAAGAATATGTTAGTTGTCCATTAACTTTGTCCCTTTTTCCATTTTGTTCAGTGGAGAAAAGTCAATCCTTTTTTAAAGTAGCAAGAAACCTGGCTGCATTGTTTATGTTCTAGTGTTTTTTTGGAAATTAGAACTGTGTGCAGTACAGTTGGATATTTAGCTGAGGATATTACTAAGCAAAGTGTGAAAGAGTGGCTTTGTTTCCCCTTGACTGCTTAGTGTAAGATGTGTGAAGAGCAAAATGACTTAAAGAGAGAATAATTAGGTTAAAAAGAACCAGATCTTAAAGACCAGGAAAATTTTCAGCTTACTCACATTGCAACAGTTGAAAAGACTTGTGCCTAAGACAATGCCAGGGCATGGCTTGATACAAAGATCAGTAAATGGATGAACCATAAACTTAATCAGCTGCCTAAGCCCAGAAACTGACACTTTAAAAGGAAGGGAAAGTAGACAAAAAGGAATGAAGGTCGTCAGATTTCTTGGATTTTACAGAACAGGACCATGGAGCTATCTAGCTGGTGCTGTGCTCTACTCTCTGAGGCAAGCTAAGAATGACCCCAAAGGTGATTCAGAAGTCTGGAAGGTTACTTTGTGGGTTTCAAAAGTGGGGGCAAGCAGGGCATAGATAGCATTGTTTTTAACAGGCTAGATCACTGTCACCAAAGCTATGAGGGAAGGACAGCCAGGAGCTGTGGTACCAGACACCTGCCTAACACATTGATCCCCCCCACACACACTGGTGAAGGGGCGAGGCGTTCACTATAGTGTGTCCAAATCTGGGCTCTCTCCTCAGTGGGTCTGGAGCACCATTATAAATTGACAGCATATACATAAGTTCCTTGGTTTTATAGGTTCACAGAGAGGAATTTTATCTGAACATGAATTGTACTTCGAATCTCACTTGTGTCTAATTTTGAAAATAGATGGACTTGGGCTGGGGATTTAGCTCAGCAGTTCAGTGGCCAATCCCTAGTACGAAAAAAAAAAAAAGAAAGAAAATAGATGGACTGTTGTCTTTAAATTTCATATTTTAGAATTGATGCTCAAACTTTTGGGGATATTGGGATGGAATGAATGTATTTTTCATGTCATAAAAACATGAATTTTGGAACCAACAACAGAATGTTATGGATGGCATGTTGTGTCCACACCAAATACATGTGTTGAAATGTAATACTCAGTGTCATAATATTTGAGGTGAAGCCTATGAGATAATGAAGTCACAAGGAGGGAACTCTCGTGGATAAGTTTAGTGCCCTTATAAAGGGATGTTGATCTCAAACATCCAGCCTCTAAAACAATTAGAAGTAAATTTACATTTCTGATTAAGCCATCTAGTTGATGGTATTTTGTTAAAGTGGCCCAAGCTAAGATGCAACCACATTTTATTCTTTTCAGGAATAAAATTATACTGAACAGCACTTAAAGTAAGCAATATATCTGTATGAGCCAATTTGAGATTTCAAAAATGATGCTGAATGAAAAAAGTAATGACAATTATTAGATATAGTATCATTAACGTAATTTTCATGAGTGTACAAAATAATGCCTAGTTATTGGGATAATACATTTAGGAAAGTTGTAAGAGCATGAAATGGATCCATGACAGGGTGTTTTGGGAAGGTAAGGAAGGAAATGTTATCGGAGAAGGGTTTCCAATTTTATCTGATCATTTCTTTATAAAGATCTGAAGCAAAACCAAAAATTAATATTTATTTACTTGGAGCACAGGGCATAGGAGTATTTGCTTTGTTATGTTTTGTACATATCTTTTATTTTTTTTCTTCTTCAGACACACACGCATACACACACACACACAAATACAACACAGGAGTCCTTATTCATGCCCTGAACATTTACAGAAAGATCCAATAGCTTTTTTGAGCATTGAATATCTTAACTTTTTCACTATTAAACGCTCAACTTCAAATAGGGAACTGAAAATATTGGAGGTAATTCTCATCTTTGATATCTATTTATTCAGGCTGTCTCTAGAGACATTGTTGCTTGAAATCATTGTAGAGAGAAATGAACATTCATTAGATTTGCAAGATCTTGTATGTCTTCTGGCTGGTAGGAAAAAGATCAAAAGCAAAGGCTTTCTTTGTGCTTTTTTGAAGTAACTGTGTGTGTTGTGCCATAAACATCTTCCTTGTGGAAAAAATAATCCTACTCACTGATTCTTTTGTGTAGATTTTCATACTATTCGGGGCAGATTGCTTCTATTTTCCTGCCTGATTTAT